AAAGTCTCCCCCAGTTAATTATATTTTTATAAAGATAATTTATTCATTTTAAATTGCTATTGTGTGCAATCATTTGCACACAATAGCAATGATTGCGTGCGACGTTCGTAAAAGTTACGACTACGTAATTTTCCTCCATTTTTTTACTTTCCCGACTGTTATGTTTTCCTCATATTTTTTTATTTCACGACAAAGAGAAAGTATGGCGATTGGTCAAATATGACCTCCCATGATTTTTACATTTCTCGGTTCAAGGATATTGAAACGACGAGAAATGCAAAAAAGTTGGGTTTTTATTCTGTTTGTGCGGATGTTAGTGTGTGTGAGTGGGCACGATTTTTTCAGCCACTGTAGAGTTTGCTAATTCCGGTGTCATTTGTCGAAAATTTCTGAAATTTTATAGGAAGGTTTTTAGTGTATTAGAGAGATTGATACTATTAAATTTTGATGGTTAAAGGTTAAGTGGTGAGGAGTAGCGGGGTTCATGTGTCATAACTCGAGCGGGGTCAGACCTAATAAAGATTTTACTTATTATTAGTACAGTATTTACAGTTTTTTTTCTATAAAACTTGTCTATACCCTGAGAATTAAGCTTCTATCATTTTATAATAATTAATAATATGAAATGTTTAAAAATAAAATTTCATAACAGGTGGCCCCACACACAAGTTTAAAGTTTGTCGGGGAAAGTTACGCAACTTGTTGCTGGATTTTTTTTATACGTGAAGTGGTGCGTAGTGTCAGTGAGATGATCAGTGGCGTGCCGTCATTAGAAGCGTTGGAAGCGCCGCTTCCCTCGTATTCTCTAAAAAATAAATATGAAATGTTTAAAAATAAAATTTCATAACAGATGGCCCCACACACAAGTTTAAAGTTTGTCGGGGAAAGTTACGCAACTTGTTGCTGGATTTTTTTTATACGTGAAGTGGTGCGTGGCGTCAGTGAGATGATCAGTAGCGTGCCGTCATTAGAAGCGTTGGAAACGCCGCTTCCCTCGTATTCTCTAAAAAATAAATAAATATTAATTTTAATTATACGAAAATAATCACACAATATTTTATTATAACCGCATTACGTGTCTTATTACAAATTTCTATACTACACGTGGAAAAAAAATTGCTATTGTATATTAGAATATTAGTGGCGGAGTGGAATCTCCTGTATTTTCAGATTACGAAAAGCCAAATTTGCGCATGCGCTTTACAGAGCACCAACCTCACCCGGTTTAGCCGGTGGAAGCCTACGACCTTGGGTGAAAGCTGCACACATAT